ATTTCATGCTTGCTCTCATGATGAAGTAATATTTCAATATGTTGAATATCTACTAAAGAATTAGATAAATTTTCAGTGGCACAGATATCTGCAGATAAACGAATAGTTTTATTACTTTCTAACATATTTTTAATATTCTTAAACAGATGTACTGGATCGGGAATGAAATATAATTTGTTCGTTGGTCTAACAGGATGCATAATGTTTGCTTTTACATTTTTTCTGGTACATCCAACTCCGAATGCATTCCACATGGCTTTGTTGTCACTGCCCATATCGCTGATCACTGCGTTGACACGCAGACCAATATTTTCTGCCTTTTCAATTAAATTGAGGATGATTTTCTTCAGTGCATTTCCCGTAGCATTTACATCTTGTGCTTTGCATTCGGAATCTGTCGTACCGGTAAAATAATAAGCAACAGTGATCTTCCATCGACGAGTAATTCCTGCCAGTAAAATGACTAAAACTTTTGTTGCAATTCCTGAGTGTGTAGGAAAAGTGCAGAATCCAATCATTCTTTGTATTGATGGATCAAATACTTCACCAGGTTTTATTGCCATTTCATCAAGAACCATCACACATTCTCTTTCTTCTGTGACCATGCCAGGTACTTCAGATTTTAGCATGTCGAACACTTCAAGTAGAATACCACTGTTAAATTTTAAATGATATAACTGTCTCTGCAGTGTTCGAATGCTAGGATAAATAGGAAGGTGCTTAACAAAATCGGTATAACCCTGTGTTCCCCATTTCATTTTAAAGACAAGAGCATCTTTTATAGTAGCTGAGCTCCACTTCAATCCATTATTTGATTTTCTTCTTAAAGCTTCTATTTGATCTGGATACAGCTTCTTGCGAAGAATAGTATAAATCTTGTTTTTATTTTCTTTCAAGCGTTTTACTTGTTTGTAATGAGCTGCATACTTGCGTTTAGTGTCAAAATACATTTTATAAACTTTCTCGGTACTTTTTTTGATAATATCAAGCTGCTTTTCAAAGGTTTCAATTCTCTTATGTTTCTCAACTATCTCTTTCTTCAATGTTTCAATGATTGTTACAGAATTATCAGTAGAAACAGAAACATTATCACATTGAAATGTATTTGTTTGAGTACTGACATTATCACATTTAAATGTATTTGTTTGAGTGCTGACATTATCACATTCAAATATATTTGTTTGAGTACTGACATTTTCTGTTAGGCTAGACTGTATCATACTTTTGTCATTTTCTACAGCTGTACCAGAAGAATTGTTAACTGGACAGGATAAGAGCGACTGTGTAACTTCTATTGGCATAGACTCATTTAAAAAGGAATTAGAATGACTTGAAGAAACATTATTAATTGATCCGAACTGTGAGCACAAATGTGCAAACCACATAAGTGAATTTTCAGTATTTTCTTTATCTGCTATAGAGTCTGTAATAGAAGACACTTGAGATGGCAATATCTTTGATGAAGCAGATGTTGAACAATTTAAATAATCTGAATCATGTAAAACAGCTGATTTCTTCGCTTCTAAAAAATTGGTTACATCTGATAAACAAACTCTAGTTTCAGAAGTTTGAAATCTTTCCGGTAATGACTTTAAATGCTCTGCATTTTCAATGTTTTCTAATGACTCTTCTTGCAAACTGGGTATAGCTGTATTTTTCAATATTTTCTTCCCATCCTGTCGCTTTTCGTAACAATTTGGAGCAAAGTGCAACTGAAAATAAATATACAAAATAATAGAAATGTTACATTATTCAAAACGTAAAATCATATCACAGCAGAATGTCATATGGTGACATAAAGATAATTAGGTAATTACCTCACATATGCGGCTATTCGTTTTAGGGCTCCATCCAGGTCGGTTGACTCTTATCCAAGATTGCCAAAGTAAACGTCGCTTTTCACATTTTGGAAAATAAAATAATCGTAACCCTTTACCTTGCCTAACAGGGCAGCCAGAAACTTCGCACCTTTTTACCATATTTATTTATCATTGATTAATATTTAAAACTGTAAGAAAGATAAGAACCGATATAAATCAAATGGGTTATATATATGACCGTCTATTTACAACAATAATTATTTTAATATTATAATCTAACCAGT